TATATATATATATGTGTGTGTGTGTGTATATGTGTATATATATATATACACACATAATAATATATATATATTACACACACACATAATATATATATATACACACACACACATATATACATATAGATATACACACACACACATATATATATATACACACACATATATATATAGATATACACACAATATATATATATGCACACACACATATATATATACATATATATTGTGTGTGTGTGCAATCTAAAACAAAACTATATCTTTTATACAATAACCCTTAATGTAGTAAAACATTTAAAAAAGTAAAGTTTCGATAAATGAACCTAAGAGGAACAGGATAAAATTTAATTATGTAAATAAACTGTACTTGTAGTTTGTGCGATATTATGTAGCAATAAGACTGATAAAGTTTATCAAGTCTCTCACTGTTGGTTTCAGTAAGAATAAATAAGACTGATAAAGTTTATCAAGTCTCTCTCTGTTGGTTTCAGTAAGAATAAATAAGACTGATAAAGTTTATCAAGTCTCTCTCTGTTGGTTTCAGTAAGAATAAATAAGACTGATAATTTCTATAAAATTTCTCTCTGTTGGTTTCAGTAAGAATAAATAAGACTGATAATTTTTATCAAGTCTCTCTCTGTTGGTTTCAGTAAGAATAAATAAGACTGATAATTTCTATAAAGTTTCTCTCTGTTGGTTTCAGTAAGAATAAATAAGACTGATAATTTTTATCAAGTCTGTCACTGTTGGTTTCAGTAAGAATAATATATTTATAACATTTCACATGCACACCTTGCTTGTTGCACATCGCTGCCGACGAGACCTTTCATTAAATACTAGAGATCATTAGGTCGTGCCCCCCCCAGTAGCACAGCAGTATTTCTATGGACTTACAACTCTAGAAACCGGGTTTCGATACCCGTGGTGAGCAGAGCACACATACCCCATTGTGTAGCTTTGTGCTTAACTACAAACAGACAAACATCAGGTCGTTATTTATATCGGTCATTTAAGATATAACAGTTCTTTAATGGTATATAACTATCATGCCAACAACTGGCTATAGACAGTGAGTGGTAGTGGGATCTGGTACATTGTTGGTTCTAGCTCCCATATCCTGACCACTTGTTGAATCTGTAGCTTTTATTTTAATTTTAGCTCTGTTGTTCTGATTACGTCTGACAGACGGAATATCCCCAATGCTTTTGACTGCAGACATTTTCACTTTAAAATGATACCTTTATATTTTGGTATAATCTTACATTGTTTTATTACAGTGGTGCTGGCGCGTGCATCTAAAATAAAAATGTTATATTTTTACCTAATTATCTTATCAGGACTGTGCAGAGCTGAATATTGCCCGTACGCCTCTGGTGTAATACAGATAACTGTGAAATACATATTTATATATATATATATATATATATATACATTCTTATTATATATATATATATTATATGTTATAGATAGCGCTTCGATCGAGGCTTTGTTTGGTGTAAACCCAACTAATCTGATGAGATCAGGTATTGTATACGAAGGGTATCTTGAAACACACAGTGTGCAGTTGAAATACTATAATATTATTCTTACTGGAAATCCGTAGAGAACCAGTTAAGAGATTGGATATAAATTAGTATCAGAACACATTTCGCCAGCACAGACAATGTATAACATAAAAGATGTTATTTATATATCACTTGCTGAGTTACCCGGCGTTGAACGATGAAAATTTAGATTTGAAATGTATAGATCAGTATTTTTGTCAGCAAATTATTCAG